CAATTCCCAGCACCCACATGGTGGCTCACAACCATCTATAATGGGATCCAATGCCCTCTTCTGGTGTTTCTGAAGACAGCAACAGTGTACTCACATACATAAAATAAACCTAAAAAAAAAATCAACAAAAGTAAATCAAAGTAGATTATCAAAATAGCAGTATCAAATTAAGCTTTCTTCCTAGAACCTGCATGTCACTAATTCTTCCCAAACATAAATGGATATTATATTCCCAACTCTTCAGAGCTACCAAGAGTTCAAGTGCCTCTATAGTCAGTATAAAGCAGCAGTGAAACTGGTGTCCTTGCCTTTTAATGTACAGGGAAGAGAAAAGTCACTTCTATGTCATTCTGCCTTGATTACCTGGTACTTCAGAAAGCTATTCAAAGACAAGTCAAAGTAAATATTCATTATTTTCAGAAACTGAATCAAATTTATAATGATCACTAACTAAATAGGATAATATCATGGGGAACCACCATTGTCAAAGGGTGTGTCAAAAAACAAAAACAATGGGCTGGAAAGATGGCTCAGTGGTTAAGAGCACTGTCTGCTCTTCCAGAGGTCATGAGTTCAATTCCCAGCAACCACATGGTGGCTCACAGCCATCTGTAATGTGACCCAATGCCTTATTCTGGTGTCTGAAGACAGCTACTGTGTACTCATATACATAAAATAAATAAATAATCTTTAAAACAAAACAAAAAAAAACCCAACAAGTTGGTGTTTGGCTGCTCTGGTGAAGAGCCTGCAGAGCCCTGGTCCCTTCCCCTGCAGCTTACTCTGAGATAACTCTGAGCTAAGAAGAGAATAAAGTAGGGAAGGGTGAAACTGTTTCACCACTGACTGTATGCCACATTCTTTTCAACTTTAGGGGATTCGAGGCAGATGAAGAGCAAATTATGGTTGAGCTTCTCCGTGGGAAATAGGCAAGCAGTTATTCTTTCTGAAAATGCACGTGTTGTCTGTAAGATGTGGCTGTAACATCTACCTCGGTGGAGGTTCATGGAAAGTAATGGAGACAATGGACAAGCTCTATTACACCGTGCTTTGCAAATTATCCACTAAGTACTAGCTATCAGTTGAAAGCAAAGCTAGACAGAATGGCCATAAGACTCAGCAATTCCACTTCTAGGCATGTGTCAGAACAAACTTGAGGGTTCAGATGACGGCGTTATTCAGCTCAGCCAAAGGGCAGAAGAAATGCCAAGTGTCTGTCAGCACACTTCTACACACAGAGTGGCAGCTGAGGTTCCAGCAATCCGGGCTGGATGTGGCTGTGAAAGACGGAAGTTCTGACATGCTTTAACATGGATGTGCTGTGACGATGACATGCTAAGTGAAACAAAGTCACTGAGACAACATGTTATGATTCCACTTGTGTGAGAGAAATAATCAAATTCACAAAAGTATAAATGATGGTTTTCAGGGAGAGCTTTATGTTAGGGCTAGTTTGTTATATTTAAAGCTGTGAATTACCACTAAAGACAGACTGACCAGTGTGCATCAGTGCCGATCTGTCACTGAGTGTGGCAATGCGGTTTGGCTGAGGGAACCTGAGCTTTTAGAGCCGAGAGTAGCAGAGGGTCCTCAGAGATGATCTGAACTTCCCAGAAGGTGCTAGAACTGCATGCTCTTCTTCTTCTGTGTGCCTATTCTATTGAGACAGTGGTCCAGATGAACCATTGCTCTGGAGAAAGAACGCAAAGAGAAGGAAGCTAGATCACATGTAGGCCGTTGACTCCAGTGACAAGTCCCTGTTATAGCTGTTTACCTGTTTCTTAATTCATGTCTATGCATTTTATCTAATGACCCACTAAGTAGTTTAAGCAGGGGCCATCTGTGTGACCATGGAGCTGCCCATGAGAGCCTGGTGATGACAGTGACATCCCCTCTCCCAGAATCTATCAGTAACCAATAGTTGAGCAGCAAGGGAGAGGGTCTCATGAGCCCCTCCCCCTCCCGTGACAGACTTGACAGGGCCAGCCTTGTGCAGGTCAGTGCAGGTAGCCATGGTTGTTATTCACTATTGGAATTGACTTAAGTCGAGATGGCATTTTGAAGCCTGTCACCCTGTCTTCTGGCTTTTATACACTTCCCTTCCCCTCTTCCTCAATGTTCCCTGACCCTTACAGGGGTATGACATAAATACCATGTCTGTTTGTTTGTTTGTTTGTTTCAGTATCACCAATCTTTCCTTTTCTTCTCCCAAATAAGTCACACACCACCTCTTCCATAAAACACCTTTTGAATCATTTCCTTGTAATCATACTGAATGTTGTTGCCTGCTTTATACATTCATATTTGCATATCATTTGCATATGCGTTTTGAGTGTGGCATTCACTAAGCAGGGCCAGCTCTGTCAAACATCCTGTGACTTGACTCAGCCCTTGTATTTTCCTCTTCAAGATGATAGTTTCTTGGTCTTCCTTTGCAGAGGCTCCTGCCAGTAACCGTGTATTAAATGTTAACTTCCCACAATGCTCTATCCTGAGACTCACTTCCCTTGGTCAATCTTACCTACTCCCCCATCTCAGGTACCATTTATATGCTGAAAGCTGTCCCAATATGGTTCTGAGATCTCTCCAGAGCAGCAGCCCGGTTTCCCCTCCTCCTGATGCATTGCCCTCTGTGTGCTAAGTTTCTTCCCTGTCACCAGGGTATTTGGGGGCTTATATCCTAGTAACACATACTTTAGGAGACTTGAAAAATACAAACAAGTGCTAACATTAGCAATGGGGGAGGGGCACTAAATGATACAATAAAGAAGCAATTAGCCAAATCAGAAATACAGAACATTCTATAAGCTTGTGGTTAGATGACTGGCCATTCTCAGCCAATAGTATAAAGGAAGAAGGATGACCATAGAACATTTAGGTGACACCTCAAAATGCAGTCTATAGTAAAACTCTTGTTCCATCTTGATTCATACTAGCAATACAAATGAACATTAGAAACTACTGCAAAAGCTAAACACAGGTAGGATATCAGATGCGGAAGAACTATTCCTGCTTTGCATGGCTGTAATAACAGCCTCATGGTGACATACATAAGAGAGGCCACCTTTTACGGATGCAACGTGGAATATGAACAAAATACAATTAATAAGGTGTCAGTGAGCTTTGCAGCTGGGCGTTTGACATCATTCTTCAGTCTTGTATATATTTAATTTTTTTGATCATATTTTTAAAAGCAGGTCAACTAAAAAAAAAAAAAAAACTGCCATGAGTGGGGGAGGGGGATCCTGCCATCCTCGGGAATTCTTGTTTATAGAACCAAAGGGCTGTGTGGGGCAAGTCCTTGACTCTGGAAATCAATCTTGGCCACAAGCCTGGGTTTATCTCAGGCACACGTCCTTTGTTTTTTTTCAAACACATATGAAACACTTGGATGTCTTCTCAGGGACAGGAAACTGTGAGGCTTGTTTTTTTCTGTTAAAAGCAACAGCAGCATTGCCCTGCTGTGGAGTCCCATGGTCGGTCATCCATCACTGCCAGCAAACCACGGCTTAAGATGCTAATGGTCAAATTGCCGAACGGGGAGAAAGTAGCCCAGTTAGAGCCATGCAACCCCTTGTTTATCTGTAACTCCTGCAGATTCCACTTCCGGTTACCATCACAATCTAGAAATTAGCAATTAGTTAATTTCTTATTTATAGCAATAAATAAGCACTAATAGTGTCTGGAAATGGAGCCCTTAGAGGAAAGAAGTCACAATCATTTGGAGGAAAAGTAAAGTGCTTAAGACCATAAAAACAATGGAAGGGCTGCCTTCCCCAAACAGGCTTCTTATCTCAGTTGCTAGAGACCTGGTTACTCAGAAAACAAACCCAGGTATGGAGGGGACTTGGGGATAAGCTCTGGCTTTGGGTCTTTAAAAGTTGGATCGGGAGAGAGAATTTATTTCCCTCAGATCTATTTAAAATCGATCTTAACACACTTTTAGCCCACCCTGCTGATCAGCCCCTTTGCACTGTCTTTTACCGTAATTTCTGGTTCTGGGTGCCCACAGCTTAGAATACCAGAGATCTTTGAACCCCACATCTGAAGTTACTACAACCAGGCCTGGTGACGCCTACTAGGTGAGCCAGTCCCCATGGTTTTCTTCTTCGGTCAAAAGTAAAACTCTAGGCAATTTTAAATTTTCCAGGACTTTGTTAATTAATGGTTAGTTTCTAATTTTAAGTCCCTGCCGCTATTTTAGTGTGAGAACTGGTTAAATAAAAAGAAAGCCAGCACAGCAATACCAGGCATTGCTGTTGGGGTTGGTAATGCCCTAGTGAAGGTTTGTCCTTTCAGAAACTTTGCAACTAGAGACCAGAATAAGAATAAGAATTCCAGCCCCTCACAGGTCCCTCACTACCTCGTGTGTGTGTGTGTGTGTGTGTGTGTGTGTGCCTTTGTATGTGTGTCTGTGTCTATGTGTGTCTGTGTGCCTCTCTATGTGTGTTTGTGCATGTGTGTGTGTATCTTTATGTGTGTCTGTGTGAGTGTGTGTGTGTGTCTCTCTATGTGTATGTGTATGTGTCTGGGTGTGTATGTGTCTCTGTGTGCTTGTGTGTCTGTGTGTCTTTGTATGAGTGTCTGTGTCTATGTGTGTCTTTTTTGTGTGAGTGTTCGTGTCTATGTGTATATGTCTGTGTATATATCTCTGTGTATGTTTCTGTGTGTATGTGTGTATGTCTCTGTGTGTATGTGTGTATGTGTGTGTCTGTGTGCTCTTGTTCTCTCCTGGACCATCAGACTGAGACATTTCCCCAGTACCCAGTTCCAACTGAGTGGCTCGTCCTGCTCTGGCTGAAGGAGGCTACACAATACCATGGCCGCAGCATCAGGAAGTCAGTCCCTGGAAGTAACAAAACAAGATTCGACGTGAGGGGATGTCCCTGAGTGAGTGTTCCCTTCTGGATAAGATACCAAAGGCTCTGTTACAGGCAGTTCTTCAGGGGGAAAAACCCACACAATAGGAGGATGAGGTATGGTGAGAGGTTTTTTGTTTTTTGTTTTTTTGTTTCCTCTAAGGACATGTATCAGTAAAATACTGCTGGGGACAGTGAAGAACAGGGCCTCTATCTGGAGTCAAGGCCAGAGCTCCCTCTTCCGCCATCCCACAAGTCCCAGCCAGCGCTGATACAGACTTTCTTCCTAAGAGTCCAGAGGGATATTGTTCCATACGTGCTTGAGAAAAGAACAAAGGAGAATTGTTGTTACAGGCATCTTCCATTCCACTCCGGGCTACCGGGTCAGAAAGATGCCTCTGTCCCTGCTGCTTACCTGTGTCTTCTCCACAGTCACCTCGGTGTCTCCCATGGGTGAGTCTCTCGTCAAGAATGTGGCACAATGTACTTTTTCATTGCCGTTTGATTTTGCATACCAAATATTAAAAACCAGATGACAGGGCCTTAAATGCAGTCCTATGGTTGTGTTTAAAAAAAAAAAAAAACAGTTACTCAACCTACAGGGATATATACCCAGAGAATTTTTGTTGTGTGTTCCTTTAGCCTCCTGCCTGAGTGTTCAGGAATTCCAAGGATTCTTTATCTCTAAAACCCTCTGATGAGCTAAGGGTTCTTGGAGTATGTATGAAAAGAAATTATGATCTCTTTCTAGCATAAGGACTTTAGAGTTCCACCTTTAAGAATGGAAATGATATTGTGTTTCTTTTAGAAATGAGAGTAGAGCTTTTTCCTTAATGAATAAAAAGGGATCAAAATGTTCTGTCCCCGATGAATGGTACAGACCTGGGTAAAATAGGTATTAAATTTGACCTTTTAAAATACCAGTGACTTTTTGCACAGACCAAGCAACTCTTAAGCTGTTTCTCTCAGGCTTGGCATAAAACTTGCCAACACAGATCCTTCTGGGCATTTCTGTGTAGCTCAGTCTGTGACTGTCTTAGATTGGTTTCTCTGCAGTAACTTGGGGATACTCTGGCATCTTTAAGTATATACATATACCTATATATACTTACATATACTTACATATGTATGTATAAGTATATGCGTACATATATATGTATATATGCGTGCATGTATATACATACATACATACACACATACATATATATACACACATACATACATATACTAAGTTTGAAGCTCAGCAACAGTGGCACATGCCTTTAATCCCAACACTCAGGAAGCAGAGGTAGGTGGATCTCTGTGAGTCTGAGGCCAGCCTGGTCTACAGAGTGAGTTCCAGGACAGCCGGGGCTACACAGAGAAACGATGTCTTGAAAAACAAAAACCAAACAACAACAACAACAAAAGATTGAACCCTGAGGAGATACGAAAGCTAAGTGTATTGCAATATCCTGGATGGGATCCTGGGACAGGGGACATTGTAGATAAAAATTAAGACAATGTGAATGGCCATAGGCTTGAGGTAATGATATTCAACACTGCTTCATTGTTTGGAACACAGAAAAAGGAAGTGGGCAGTAAGAAGCAGGGCATGGAGAGCTTCTAGATGCAGCAAAGGCACAGGGGCTACAAAGACTGTGATCTGAACAGTGTACAGGGCCTCTCAGGTACACTGGCCTCCAGGATGACAAGATAAATATGTCTGCTCAGGCCCCGTGGTTGGTCTTTGTACGAGATGCTCCAAAGTGTTCTGCTGAGCCTCTGGGCTTTCTAGCAGGGAGGGGGACTTTGAGAGGAACGTACAGGGTTGTTCTCTTTCAAGCCCGGATGCTGAGGACTGGTTGAGCTAATTAGGATCCATTTGTATAAAGCCACATTCTTGGCTCCGCATTGAGAGTAAAAAGAGGATTTGACACAGAATGGACATTTTGAAAGAGGGGAAAGAATTTAATGTTAGCAAATATCCGGCAACTGTGTTCATGTAACGTTCCATATAGGGTCAATCTCTCTTCCATATAGAGTCAATCTCTCTCCCTTATAGGGCCAATCTCTCTTCCTCATGCCACTGTTCCTCTACCACAGGAAGGCAACTGAACTTAACAGTAGAAGAAATGACATTTAACTTTAAGGAAAACTTTGGAAATCATGGGATAGTCATTAGAGAAGTTGCTGCCGATGCCATTAAAGGTTGAATGTCTAACTATCTCTTGTAAAATTAGAGACAGGGAGATGAATGACACATTTCTATGAAGTTATAATCACCTGTGAAATTACTCTGGAAGCCCTACTTGGCTGAAGAGCCATAGCCAGAGGGGCAGAGGAGGTTTCTCCCTTGGAAAAGGGAGGGAATTTGAGGACATCTCTTCAGAGAACACTGAATTGTCAGCTAGCACTCCGCCGGGATAGCTCAGGGGCATTTTAAAGACTTTGGAAGGAACTCATAAAACTTGAAGAGAAGGTGGCACAAGCAAGAATTTACAATTCTGCAAATGTCATTTCCAGAAAGTTCAATGTCCTGACCACTTCTTGGCCCAGACCATCAAGTTATTTCCTGCCTTCTCTAGCCAGGCTGCTGTGTATTTCAAAGCAACTGGCCAAGTGCCTCTGGCCCTTTCCCTTTCTGTGGAATGAACTTTCCACATTCTTTATTCAGGCAAACTTCATACCGTTGCAAGACCTGACTGCCATTTTTGCAAAGTCAAGTCAAGGCCTTCCCCCTTCCTTTTCTTTTTTGATTTCTGAAACTGAGGACCTAATGGCGTGTAACACGCTCTCCCCCATGACTGCCCAGCTGAACTGCAGCACCTTTTCTCATCCTTGCACCAAAGTTCCTGGATCCTCGGACACATGAGCCCCTCTGTATAGTGATTTATTTACTTGTTCATGTGTCCATTCATTCCGGTGCTGGCTAGAAGACAGCGTTATGCACCGCAAGCTCAAGCTGGAACACTGCCAGGCGTGGCACAAACTGCTAATTTCAACACTGAGGAAATAGAGACGGGAGGATTCTTGGGGCTCGCTGGCTAGACAGTCTAGCCTAATCAATGAGCCCCAGGCCAGAGAGAGACTTTGTCTAAAGAAAGCAAAGCAAAATGAATGGTTCCTAAGGAAGGACACCTTTGACATCTTGCGCGTGTGCACACACACACACACACACACACACACACACACACACACACACGACTCTCTCTGCCCTCGGGGATCATAGGCTGATATTGGTCCATAAAAACAATGGGAACAGAGATGAACACAGACAGCCATTTGAGTACCTACAATGAATGACGACACCCCGCAGGCAGAAGAATGGGTATGAAGGGTTTGAATTCCCCAGACAAGGTCAAAGAAGGAGGAGCCCTACCAATGAAGGGAGTCCTCCATTACGTGCCAAGCCTCAGAAGGCTATGGTAGACTTTGATCCTAATTAGCAGAATTTTCCCAACACAAACACACACACACACACATCACATATACACACCCTTTGTTTGACAAATCAAAATGGAAGATTGGGGTGGATGTAGCCATTGGCATTGTGATCTGACACATGACTAGGTGTCTCTGGATCTCCTTTAATTCCCAGCTCTAGATCCTTGTTTTGCTTATATCAGTCTGAATGAGCCCCGGAGGAACACTGACTACCAGTTTGATGAGTCCCAAAGTGAACCTCTTTGCGACAACTATATGGATGGGGAGTGGTATCGTTTCACTGGTATGGCAGGAGATGCCATGCCCACCTTCTGCATACCAGAAAACCACTGTGGGACCCATGCACCTGTCTGGCTCAACGGCAGCCACCCCCTAGAACGGGATGGCATTGTGCAGCGCCAGGCCTGTGCCAGCTTCAAAGGAAACTGCTGTCTGTGGAATACCACGGTGGAGGTCAAGGCCTGCCCTGGAGGCTACTATGTGTATTGGCTGGCCAAGCCCAGTGTCTGCTTCCAAGTCTACTGTGGCCGTAAGTACCATCCTGTACTCTCTTCTCTCCCCAGCCAGCCCACAGACGGAGTTAAAGAGAAAGGCACTATATGAAGGCCAGTTATTGTGATGCTCATTTCTTTTATGTTTATTCATTAAAAGATTAGAAGATTAGAAGTTGGAGTTTTACCTTGCTTGAGTATGGAAGAGCCCTCAGTAATGGACCTGTGGAGAGATGAGCAATGGAGGAACAGATAGATGCCCAGATATCCACACGGTAGCTTTGTGCTTGTTCTCACTGACATTGAGACATGATATACAACGGGAAGAGGAAACTTAGAGTCAATAATACTTTGAAGTGAATTTCTACATCACTAATGCCATCAAAATCTGGAGACTTCCTAAACACCCTTACCAGTAAAACTCAAACCTGGGGCCCACAGAAGCTGGTGTTCCCAGCTCCTGTGCACATTCTGGAGTCCACAGTGGAGCATGACCTAACCCATAGTACCTAGCTAATAGCTAATATGCACTGATGTGTTTAATTTGCTGAAGTCCTCTGGCCATCAGGGGCCTGAGATCTGTAGCTGGGAATTGGTTATCTGAATGAACCAAGCAGCCCACGGGCAGCTGCTCTCTCCATTGGTGATACAGTCCCTGAGCCATGAGAAATGTCAGGAACTTGTAGCCCACGCCTGCATTCATGAGACAATTCAAAAGACAAGGTCCTCTGAGCCTCACCACTCACAGAAAGTAACTGTTGTCCTTCCATAGATTTCTATGACATCTGTGATGAGGACTGTCAGGGCGACTGCTCGGACACCAAGTGTGCGTGTTCTCCAGGAACCTTGCTGGGCCCAGATGGACAGACGTGCTTCGGTAAGAACTAGTCTCAGGGCAGAAACGATACCTCAGCATCGATGAGACATCCCAGGGCATCTCTGAGCACTTGGCAGTGAGCCTGTCTGTGTTGTTTACGATTAAAGCACAGGACAAGCTCAGGGCGTGACGGGGGCAGCTTGGAACCACACTGTCTGCTCTTAGGAAGCCATAGGAAGCTATTGAGGACCCGAATCTTAAGTTAACTAAATTTTAATATAAAAACTGACTTTGGGCGGCTAGAGAGATGACTCAGTGCTTAAGAGTACTGACTGCTCTTCCAGAGGTCCTGAGTTCAATTCCCAGCAACCGCATGGTGGCTCATAACCATCTGTAATGGGATCTGATGCCTGCTTCTGGTGTTTCTGAAGACAGTGACAGTGTACTCATATACACAAAATAAATAAATAAATAAATAACAAAACAAACAAACAAAAATAACCTGACTTTTGACCCAACCACTGGCAAATCAAAAATGCTTGAGGATAACTCAAATGACTAAAATTTGTCTGTTTTTACTGACTGTAAATACAGATAAAAATGTTTCTGGTGAGAACTGGTCTCCATTAAGGTGTGGCACATTCTGCAGCTCTAGCACTGAGGAGGCTGAGGCAGGAGAATGGTGAATTCAAGACCATCCTGAGCTGCATAGGCAAGACTCTGACTCACCCCACCCCTACCCCAGAAAATCTAACATCCAAATTGAGATACACTGTGAGGTCATTTCAAAGTAGGTTCCAAAGACATGTCTTATTTTCATATGCTTACTTCCTTCAGGCAGATATAGAAGTGAAAATATATGTTTATTTGTTGACCTGTTCTTTTCTGCATCAAAGGTGGCATACCATCAGACCCGCCCCTTCTTGACACTGCTCTTTAGACCGATCAAAAGCCCCAAGTTCCTACCTAAGTGGAATGAGCGTCTAAGAGATGACTGTGGGCAGACTTCTGTGTGTAGGAGCTCATGTCAACTTTAGTTTATATTTAGTTCCCATGTAAATGAAACAAGTTTAAACTTTTCGTTACATTTATTTAGTGTATATGTGCTAGATCAAGGACAACTTGCTGGAGTTGCTTCTCTTTCCACCGAGCAGTTCCCAGGATCAGGTTTAGGGGGTCAGGCTCAGCACCACATGCCTTTACCCACTGAGCCAGCCTGACAATTTTAATTATTATTTTTTTAAAGATTTATTTATTTATTTTGTTGTATGTGAGTGCACCGTCGCTGTCTTCAGACACACCAGAAGAGGGCATCAGATCCCATTACAGATGGTTGTGAGCCACCATGTGGTTGCTGGGAATTGAACTCAGGACCTTTGGAAGAACAGTCAGTGCTCTTAACCACTGAGCCATCTCTCCGGCCCTAAATTATTATTTTTTTTAAATTAGCTTTTTCAAGCAGAGAGGAGGAAGTAAGAAAATAGCAAAGCAGCTACACACACACACACATGTATCCAGTTACAACCGTAGTTAAATTTTCTTTTCTTTCCTTTTTTTTTTTTTAAGGGTGAAAATAGAATTTGGTATTCAAGCTAAATGATCTCACTGGGCTCCACCACCCTCTGTCATCCTCTGGGGGTGGCTGCTGCTTGAATGGCAGCCTGTTTCCTTCCTGCCCTGTCTCTATGTTTTATTATTGCTGTGTATATGTGCAACACTGTATCATACAGAATTATTGTATCCCTGCTTAAAGTTAGCCTACAAATGATACCTCACTCCATGTGAGGCATTTTCTCTAGGGTGTAAACATGCAGGGAACTGCTAATGGTCAAGATACTTCCATTAGCAGTAACTAACAGCCCCAAGCAACAGTAGCCCAAATAAGTAGAAGTTAATGTCTCCCTCACGTAAAATAAAAAGCAAAAAACCCAGACTTTCAATAGAATCTGGAAAGAAGTCGTACCATGGGTATAGCCTCACCTTTGCAAGGAAGCTGCTGGCCTCCTGCCCTCCCTGGCGTGCGGGGGTGGAGTGAAGTTCAGGGCCCAGTGCATGGTGCCACACAGCGGGGACCCCACACTTGGAAGGTGGAAAAGGAAGATAAGGAGTACAAGGCCGGCCTCTTCCTCATAGTGCATTCTAGGCTAGCCTGGGCTACTTGAGGCTCTCATCTACTGTAGTTTGCTTTGTTTTGTATTTCTACTGCAAGCTCTAAATGTTGGTTTCCCTTATTTAGTTCATTTTTTCCCGTTTGGGTTTTTCTTTTTAAAAAAAATGCGTGTATGACTCTCTGGGTTTTTTTGTTTGTTTATTTGTTTATTTTGTTTTGTTTTGTTGGGTTTTTTTTTTTTGCACCAGTTCAAAGTCTCTAGGTCTTGCCTATCTGTATCCATCGTGAGCTGTCTGCAGTGATTCATGCCACGCCCTCTTCCGTCTGGCATTAGGGGTTTTCTGTCGTTCTCCACCCTTCTAACCTCCTCCAAGACTGCTCTCCTCCAGAGCAGGTTTCCAAGTGTGTCTGTAGTCCAGGTGTAATTGCACGTCAGTTTCTCAACTCGAGATCGACATCCTGAGTGGGAAGTGTACATCTACGCTTCAGCCGTCGCAGTGCACTGACCTGGGCTTCCACTGTTGGCACGTGAGGGTGGTTTGTCATGCAATAACAGAAGACTCTCTCACACGGTATTTTGCTAAATAGTTCCTTCTGCACTGTAAACCCTTTCTGTGCTTTAAGACAAAACATAATCTGTAACCTTGCACTGAGCAATTTTTCATGAACTTATTGGAGAAGGAAGAATTCAAAAAAACAAATAAGTGTACCCAGAACAGGAAAGGAGCCTCATTCCATCCCCCGCCCCTTCGTGACCGTATTATTACATTTATGTATTTATTGTGCACGTATGCCCATGTGCTATGCCATGCATGTAGAGGTCACAGAACAACTTCCAGGTGTCGGTTCTCGCCTTCCGCCATGTGTGTTCCACCCAAACTCCGGTCGCCAAGTTTAGTAGAAAGCGCCTTTCTCTGCCGTCTTGCCAGCCCCATATCTCTACCCGAAAGGATAGGAACTCACAAGTACTCGGTCACCTTCTGCTTGGCAGAGGACAACTGAACAGAAGACAGATGAGCTAACAGCTTGGTTAAGGGAGAGCGGTCCCATAGACCGGAGTATGCTGGTTCATGCGTGATGGGGCGCGAGGTTATCCAACAGCATCTGGGAAGACGCAGGCCGGGGATCAGGGGCTGGGGGCAGGGGCAGGTTGCTCAATGGTATGGCAGTGATGTGGTTTCCCTTCTACAGATGAAAATGAATGTGAGCACAACAATGGCGGCTGCGATGAGATCTGTGTGAACCTCAAAAACTCACACCGCTGCGCATGCGGGGTCGGCCGCGTGCTCAGGAGCGATGGAAGGACTTGCGAAGGTGAGACTGAGTGAGCAGGGGATGCGAACCCCGCATCCAAAGGGAGCCACTGGCTTGTTCTTTGACATTTGCAAAGCCTTTGGCTTGCCGGTAGAGGAAAATTACAGTTTTTCAGCCTAAGAAAATGACTACAGGGCTTCAGCGACATTGGAGATGCTTAAGCTATGGACAGAATTCAATATTGATTTTGTCTTCAAGATTGAAGGGTGCGGGGCGGGGGTGGGGGTGTTGCAAGAAATAGAACGTCGTGGGGAAACTGAAGAGGGGTAATACCAACTTTCTCAAACTTAAATGTGCCCACAAATCCCATAGGATCTTGTTAAAGTGCAGATTCTGACTGACAGGTCTGAGGTCAGCCTGAGATAACTTTGTCGCTCAATAATGTCTAGGTGCCAGCTTCTGCTGGCCAGAAGCTGACAGTGGCAGAGAGTAGCCCAGGTCCTCAACCTTCCTGGGCCTGAGACTGGGCTCCACCCAACCCCCACCCTGCCACCTATAGGTGGGGAAGTCTGCTTCAACAGGCTGGGATGGGACCTCAGAATTTACAACTTTAAAGAATTCCATAGATGAGTCTCATTGTCTCAGAAAATTGAGAAAAACGCTGAGACAGGTGGTGGTAGCCTACACCTTTAATTCTAGCATTCCAGAGGCTGGGGCAGGCGAATCTCCGAGTTCGAGGCCACCCTGGTCTACACAGCGAGTTCCAGGACAGCCAAGGCTACACAAAGAAATCATCTCTCAAAAACCAAACCAAACTAAGCAAACAAACAAAACAAAAAAGAGAGATAATTTAGGAAGCTTCTTTTACATTGAATTATTTTTCCTTTGCTTTGAGGGAAATTAATGTATTTTTGGAGATAAAATTATCTACTTAAAAATTTTAGGCTTTCTTTATTTTATGTGTATGAGTGCTTTGCCTGCATGGACGTACACATAGCCCTTGAGTGCCTGATGTCCACAGCGGTTAAGAAGCTGAAGTCATTAATGGTTGTGAGGCGCCATATGGGTGCTGGGAGCAATAAACCCAAGTCTTCTGGGAAAGTAGCAAGGGCTCTTAACTACTCAGCCATTCCCTAACCCCATTAGCTACTTTTCGTTACAGAGTTGCTGTGTGAATGGCTTAGCAACCGAAGCCTTACTGATGTATTGCAAGGAATTGAAATGAAAGTATCTACTGTTACTCTTTGCTTTTTAATTGACATAACGTTTCACATTTTTATGGGTAATGACTCAGTCATCTGCGCTACTGTTCCATGGGACTCGGGCCATGTCCTCACCACAGCTAAAGTGACCTCATACCTGCTTTCTCAAGTCTGAGTTGCCCTAACACTCCCTGCAGAGCCTGACATGGAAAGGTAGATAGCATAGTTATTATTTACAAGGGCTATATGATTTGCCCTTCAGCACCATTGAACTTGTTTATTAATAGAGCTATAACCTATATATAAGAATCCATTTTATTCTTGTCACATTCAAAATAATAAAATAACATCCCAAAGAGAAAAATTTATGAGTAGTGTCCTACAGAGTTTGCATTATTAATTCAGAGAACATTAAATAGAGTATTAAATTGCTGTCCTTATAACGAGGCTAAATTATTTTGAATTTTATTGAATAATGATGTCTGGAATCTTCCCTAAATCTTAATTTCAGCATATTTGAATATTAATAAAATATTTCAGGAAGAACATTTGTAATTATTCATGAGCACATTATTGAGACTATTATGGTTAATATTCATATAATCTTAAAACCTAATAACCATAACTGAAAAATATTTGGCAAATGATAAAAACTTTATGTGTCTATCTGAGCAATACTTTGGGAATACTGTTTCTATTTATAACATTTAACTTTTATTGAAAGGCTAAATGTATTTGTTTCTTTAGTGTAACTATTAAATTGTTATAGCTTTTTAAAAAATAATTATACTTTTACATTTTTAAGCAAATTTTAATGGCTTATTATATAAATAGGAAAATAGGGAAGAGTAAAAGAAAAATGTAAGTGACCTCCCAGTCTGTTGCTGGGAGATGTTTCTGCCCTGAACATCTCTTTCCACCGTCCCAAGGGGCTTAAATCCTTTAGGGCAACTTGGATTTTTTTTTTTTGGCCTATTTTTTATTTTGCATTTTTAGACCTGAAAATTCCCAGTGTGGTTAGTTAGGGTTGCCCCTAACTTACAAATATTACAAATCTTACAAATATTGAAATTGCAACTTAAAGAAATAAATTGACTTAGGAAAGGTCATTTTGAGGGTTGTGGCAGCAGACTGCATGCTGAGTCAGGTGAGGCCCAGGTGTGATCTCAGCACTGAAGAGAAGTTTTTAGAAGGAAAAAAAAAAACCATTAATGTTGATTTTAACACCTTTTTTTTTTTTTTGAGACAGTGTCTCACTATGGTTAGCCTAGAACTTGGTCTATAGACCAGGCTGGCCTATAATTCACAGAGATCCCCCTGCCTCTACTTCCAAAGTTCTGGGATTAAATGCATGTACCACCATTCCGGTGACTTTAACACTTCATAGCATAGTAGCATATTTTTATATTTTCTTCCACATTGTTATCTATAATCTCAACTATTTCAAAACTCCACAAACTGCATATATTCTTTAAAAATATATGGCTTGGTTTATCACAATGCTACAACTCGTGAAGACACTCTTGACAGAGATATTTGTCACTGCTGGCCTGAATATACAGGTGCCCTGTGTGAGACAGACATAAGTGAATGCAGTAGCAACCCCTGCCAATTTGTAGGGGTGGGGAGGTGGGGCGTTGTGCCGAGTTGTCCTACAAGGATCAATAGGGACATATCACAGGCCTGCCTTCCTCCTTCAGCTTCCATGGAGCCTCAGACTGTTTGTGTCTGTCAGCCTGGATTCATAGACAGGAGCCTAACCTGACTGTCCTCTGAGAGGCTCCATCCAGCAACTGACCGGAAACAGAGGCAGAAACCAACAGCCAAACGTTAGACAGAGCTTGGGAAGTCTTGTGGCAGAGTTGGGGGAAGAATTGAGGAACCAGGAAGGAATAGGGACTCCACAGAAGAACAATAGAGTTAACTAACCTGGACCCTTGGGGGCTCACAGAGACTGAGCCACCAACCAAAAAGCATCCAAGGGCTGGCCCTACTCCCCTTTCCCCTGACTCCCACATATATGTAGGAGATGTGCAGCTTGGACTATATGCAGGTCCCCCAACAACTGGAGCGGGGGTGAGGTGGGAGGGTGGCTTGCCCTGACTTTGTTTGCCTGCTTTTGGATACTATTCCCCTAACAGAGCTGCCTTGTCTTGCCTTAGTGGGAGACAATATGCTTAGTCCTGCAGTGACTTGAGCTGCCATGGTGGGTTGTGTATCGGGGTGTCTCCTCATTCTCAGAGGAAGGGGAGTGAGAGGGGCTGTGTAAGGGGGAAACTGGGAGGAGAGAGGGGCTATAATCAGGATGTAAAGTGAATAAATAAATTAATTAATGGAAAAAATATGGCTTGTCTAGGGCTGGTAAGATGTCTCAGCAGGTGAAGGTTTCTGGTAAGATGTCTCAGCAGGTGAAGGTTTGCCACCAAACCTGATGACCTAAGTTTGATCCCTAGAACCCACAAACTAGAGGGTGAACTGTGCCCACAAGTTGTCCTCTGACCTCCACACACTGTGGCTTTGCTATGCACACATATGCAAACATGCACTGTTACACACTGTGTTTTTCCTATACACACAGTTACACACACACATGCATATATACATTGTGGCTTTGGGATACACACATGCACACACACAAAATATGGCTTTGCTATGCACACACATACATGCAAACACATACACACACACACACTGTGGCTTTGCTATGCACACACATACATGCAAACACATACACACACACTGTGGCTTTGCTATGCACACACATACATGCAAACACACACACTACAAACATTTTTTAAAATATACTAGGTGGGTTTCTAAGCAGGTCATAAAGATGAATTCATTATAACTTTAGTCTCTTACATTTCCCAAGTACTGACTTATATATACTAAGTCAGCTTACTGGTGATCCACTAACCACTAACCTGTTTTTCCTAGTACCCTTAGACATTAGCTTCCATCCCTCCCTGAGTATGTGAGATGATCAGAAACAGTTCCTTCCATCATCTTAGCTTAGAACCGAGCTCCAAAACCTTTTGCCTAACAGGCAGTTGGTAGATACTTTGTGGACCATCCAGAATCAGTCACAACTGCCCAGTTCTGCCCTTGTAGTGAAAAGTAAATAAATAAACATAGACCATCATGATCTGCAAACAGTCATGCCTATGTGTGCTAATAAAACTTTATTTAAACACCGTGTAGCAGATTGGAATCTGACAGGCCTCAACCTAAAAGATAATGTCCAGGTCTCACAGATGTCCTTTTGATGGTTAAGATTATGAATCATTGACAGGCTAAGGCAGGGGTGGATCCCGGGGCCTTGGGAATGGTGGGCAAACATAATGACTGAGCTGTTTCTCCAGCCCCTCAGCCTACCCAAGACCTTTTATCTCTGGTGCTCTGATTCCTAGAGAGTCTAGGAGAGAGGCCAATGATCCAACTGGTCTGCAGCAGCTCTGACCCACCTAGCCGGTGCAGAAGAAATTTTACTCAACTTCTTTTCATCCACCAATAGGTCTCTAAAATCTTAACTTATATGTATACATATTGCAACAGTTAATAAATGTCTTTTGAGTCTTACACATATTTATGACTTCATTCTAATCATAAGAAAACCATGAGAAAACTATAAAGACACTCTACAAGATGCCCGGAGGGTCTCAGTAACCATTGTTGGGGACAGAGGGCTACTCTTGGCAGTCATCCCATTTAGTGGATATTTTTGTGGGTTTGCCTCATTACGAGTGACCACATTAGACTGCAGGGGGTTGCGCCATGAGTTAAGAAGAATCTCTGGTGACCAATGCTGCGATCCCCACAGTAGAGGGCTCCAGGATGATGCTCACCCTTGCTGGTCCCTCTGAAGACATCGAAGGATGCCACAGCAACAACGGAGGCTGCAGCCATTTCTGCCGAGGGTCTGAAAAGGGCGTTCAGTGTGAATGTCCCCGGGGCTTGGTGCTGTCTGAAGATAACCACACTTGCCAAGGTAGGGGGCAAGGGTTGACTCCCTTCTGATTCACACACTGTCCTTCCTCCCACCTTTGCCTTCCCTCCTCCCAGACTGTAAGACTCTTATCTTTTCAGAGCACTGTTCCTCTGAGAGCCTGAGTGTCCCCTGAGTCAGCAGTCAGGAATGTTTCAACAGAGAACTCCCCCTTTCCGCTCTCCTTTTCCCTCTCCTTCCCCCCCTCCACAGTGTGCCTGCTCACTCTGTGACCCCAGCATTTGTGTGGTGGAGGCCAGAACCCTACCTGAGAGACCAAAGCCAATCCAAGCTACCCAGTGAGACCTTGTCTCATTAACAGACAGGAGTGGAGAAAGCTCTCTCTCTCTTTTTAAAGTCAAGAAAAGCTAGCTTTCCTTCACTGATTGCCTCTGAGTTGGTCTCTGATTCCTATAGCCAAAAGTGCAACTGCTACTCGGTTTAGAACTATTGACTTATTCAGCAGACTTCCAGGGGCCAAACCTAGTTTAAATAATGATGAATGGTGAATTCTTCCCCATCAATGGTGTCCTGAGACCTGTTCCTAGTTCTTGGTGTCTGGGATCTCAGTCCCATCACCCAGCAGACACTGACCGAGCACCAGTGTCTGACTTCTTGGTGCCTCTCGATGCTGACATGTGTGTTCAACGATGGGACTCTGGCAGTACCTAGTAATCTTTGGGGTGTTTGCAGGGTAAGAGAACATGGACGTAGGAATGCCACAGAGAAGCAACCTCTTTTTAATATTAAAAGTTAAAGTGGAATTTATAGTCTGAGTTTCCAGTTTACTGAGTCGCTCAAGGACATTTTGGAAGGCTTCCAGAGTGCGGGAACGCTGTTTATTGCCTGTTTAGTGGAGCAGTAACTAATGGTCAAGCCAAAGCAGTTCTGCTGTGCCAGTTAATCGTCTGTCTGCAGTGTCTTTCTTGTACTGCCTGTAAATTGTGTGGGCGCTAAAGTTCACCCTTAGGATGTCTCGTCCCATGGAATCACACCAGCTACACTTTGGACAGGCGTTTGTTGAGCGGAAGCTTAACCACGCTATTTCCTGTTCAAACAAATATGTGATTTGAGGACCGTCATTGACCATAATCTCAGAAGTTGGGGATCCTGGTTGTATTCATCAACTTGCTTCAAGCCTTTTCCTGGGGAAAGGAACAAAGAGTCCAGGTTGCCTGGGGGAGAACACACTCCCCTAGAAGCCTCCTTAGCTTTCCCCAAGCCAGGTTTCCTGTTCTAACAGACTCCTTTTGCACACAGTCCCTGTGTTGTGCAAGTCCAGCGCCATTGAAGTGAGTGTCCCCCGGGAGCTGGTTGAAGGCCTGGAGCTCTTCCTGACCAACACCTCCTGCAAAGGAGTGTCCAACGGCACCCACGTCAACATCGTCTTCTCCCTCAAGACCTGCGGCACTGTGGTTGATGTAGGTTCCCTGGTGAACACTTAGGAAGTGACCAACGCTACTTAGGGAGGCAACTGACAGAGGGTATATAAAGAGATAGGTCCACACAAGAGAACTGAGCTCAAGACATCTTCCGCCCCAAGCCGTGGTCCTGGACCGGTGAGGTGTGGAGTGACTAACTCTGACATCGTGTTCACACAGATTCCTGCCTGTTAGGGAGCACACAGCAGTCCTGAGAGGATATAAAATGTAAACAAGGGCTGGGCTGTCAGACACACGACAGTCACGGACTCTAGGAGTCCCGGACCTGGCTGTGGCTTGGATGTGGGTAGAACTGTGTTGGAATCACACAAGCAAAGAGGCAAAGGGCCTTTTTGATGGTGACACACGAGCTGTTATCTCAAGAGACTCTTCAGGTCCGTGCTAAGGTGAACGAACAGGCAGAGCAGCCTGCCCTGCTTCCCTGGCCTCTGTGCTAGAGAGAGACAGGTTTGAGTCCACGAAAACTGGATGAAGCTGGTAGCTCTGACCCCACAGCGTGCAAGATAGATGATACACAGAGGACTGGATACAGGGCAGGGCAGAGGCCTTAGTGATCATTTGTTTATGAGTCCTGATCAATGAATCATAGGGCTGATTACTTTGGGTGAGATACAAGGTATCTGTGGAGGAACAGGAGTTCCCCATTCAGGCAAGTCGTGTGAATTGTTTCTACGGGTAGCGTGGTGGAACAGCCCCAGAACCGGCTGGTACCATTTCCTGTTGGTTGAGTTCTGGGGTAAACAGCTGAAATTCCTCTGTCCTGGGATGGATGCAGGTTCCAGGGCTAGCTTAGCTGCAGCAGGATCTGGAATTCTTGAGAGAGCATGAGGCACTGTCCTCTTTCGAGGGCCAGAGCTTGGGCTTTTGCTGGTTGTTTGGAAGTTGTTAAGGTGAGGAGGTAACTAGAAACAAATCTCAGGAATCTCTCTTCACCCGCGACGGGCACAGGTGGTGAATGACAAAATCGTGGCCAGCAACCTCGTGACGGGTCTGCCCAAGCAGACCCCTGGGAGCAGCGGAGACATCATCATTCGGACCAGCAAACTGCTGATCCCGGTGACCTGCGAGTTCCCCCGCCTGTACACCATCTCGGAAGGATACGTGCCCAACCTGCGCAACGCCCCACTGGAAATCAGGAGCCGAAACCACGGCATCTTCCCCTTCACGCTGGAGATCTTCAAGGACCACGAGTTCGAGGAACCGTACCGGGAGACTCTGCCCATACTCAAGCTTCGCGACTCGCTCTACTTCGGCATCGAGCCCCTGGTGCACGTGAACGGCCTGGAGAGCCTGGTAGAGAGCTGCTTTGCCACGCCCACTGCGCAGATGGATGAAATCCTCAAGTACTACTTGATCCAAGACGGGTGAGCACAGCGCTGTCTTGGAGGGGCGTGTGTGTGTGTGTGTGTGCATGTACATGCACACATGCACGAAGATATAAAACGAATTAGAACGAATCAAATCACACAGGGAGGGTCCTTAGCTTCTTAGGAGAAACTGTGTATCAATAGCCAGAGCTATGGCCTCAGTGTGTCAGTTCAGGAGTCCTTTCCCCAGGCCACCATGACAGGCACCTCATAGCAATGTGCCAAACTGAACTAAGATTAAGACCGCAGACTCTCTGAAAAGGCAGTTTGCTGTCACTTTTGGGAAAAGAGAGATGACATTTGAGGCCACTTGTCACCTGAGAAGCTTAAACGTAGGTGCACAGATGGCTCCTTCACCTCTGAACTCCCTCTGGGGGATTGTGTCTCTCATGTGTCCAGGAAATAGGTGTTAAATCAAGGAAGAGCCTTCTCAGACCAACAACTATGCTGAGCTAGTTTCCTAGGGCACATCACAGGCAGAGAGACAACCTTAGTAGCTAACAGTCTCTCTGAAGAGCACATCTCAGTGCTTAACCAAGCAGGAGGTGCTGTGCTCTCTGAGGCTCCATGAATGGAGGATAGGGCAGCCATCATACTTCACCTTGCCTGATGAGGTCTGCAGATGCCTTTGCCAGGAGAGGAAGCCGTTTACTCTTTCTTCTCACAAGGCTGGCGTGCAGCCCGGTACACCCCACCCACTTTACCTCACCTTGGGCCAAATGCCTTGGCTGGGAGTGTCTGCTGCCTCTGTGGAAGAGATCAGGTCTGACACGCTGTCTATCCTACTTTTAGCTGTGTTTCCGATGACTCAGTAAAGCAGTACTCATCCAGGGACCACCTAGCAAAGCACTTCCAAGTCCCCGTCTTCAAGTTTGTGGGCAAAGACCACAAGGTAAGCTGGATGCCTTTGTCCCACAACCCCATGCCGGAGCCTCCCTTCGTATTGCCCTGGTGCACTGACATTTTAAGCCTGTGGTTAGCTTCTGCATGACCTTTGGGAGAATACAGATAAACTGGTCATTGAGAAACTCAGGGTTCATACACATTACAATTGCCTGACCCACGCCACCCCCACATAAAGTGACTGTGCACAGAGAAAGTCATAGGACCACAATTTAGGATCTTTGTGGGCAGATGAGCACGAAAAGCCAATGTCACTGTCAGTTCACCGAAGGATTTAGACAGGACTCTCGTGAGAAGACAGCACAGAAATGGGGAGAGATTTGAACCCAGAACACTAATCGTAGGACACGACTTCGTAATACGGAACGGTCTACATGGAATGTATGGGGAACTACAAATTACAAGGCTTTCGAAGCCATAGGAGGTGAACAACAGTATACATTTATATATATATACATACATATATATATATATATATATAGAGAGAGAGAGAGAGAGAGAGAGAGAGAGAGAGAGACAGAGACAGAGAGAGACAGAGAGAGACACAGAGAGACAGAGAGAGAGACACAGA